TAGCAAATTTACCAATATCATTTTTCGTTGAAAGTAAAATAATGAAAAACCTATAAAAAAGATTGACACTGTAAAACTTACTCTGACAAACAAACATTTTCGGCGAGCGGAAATCGTCACAGTCAGCAGACACCCACTCTCCTGCGTGAGCCGCATAAGCACAATTTTTTTCGTTTGTTATATCTGGTTGTCCTGTACGCCAGAAAAAGAAATGTGCCCGAGTCCCATAAGTACTACTCTCCCAGTACCAATGCCTTTTCCCTATGGAAATATATTCTCAATAAGTACATTTTCAACTTCAATCTCAATGATGATAAATAAATTTCAATAGCCATAAAGTGGCATTTTAGCCAAGAAATTTTATATGTAATTATATAGTGTAAAAATAATAAAAGATTTTTTGCATTTGTAATCTCTTGTAGTAAATTTGACAATTCACTAATCGTACTGAGTTATATGAGACTTCTTTATCACAGTATAATAAGAAGCTAAAGCTCATCTTACACTTAAATCCTAGATAGAAATTCTTAAGCAATGAAAGGCTCTTTTGTGTCAACCAACTATGGTAGAGAAAGCATTCAGCCATAACAAAAGTGTAATATGATGAAAACTCTGCAAGTAAATTTTATAGAACCATATTGACGAAAGACAAGAAGAAAATTGCACCTTTCCTTAGGCCAAGCCAGAACGATTTTCCTCCAGCAAGCCCTACAAATTTTGTTTAACATTACATCCTTTCAAAAATTAAGTATCTATTTGCATGCTTAAATGAAACATGAGATCTAACAAATTAAATTAAATTATAATTTATTTAAAACATATCCGAGTATTAACCACTTTAATTTTGCACCTCCTTCCCTTCCTGATTTTTAAATATATTTTCAAATAGTCTCAAAGCGCATATTTTATCAAAAATAAATACTGTTCATTGTTACCATAAGCTGTTTGTGCTTCCTCCTTGTTTTTAATTTTGACTATTTCACTATCCAACAAATTGCAAATTGTTCTGATCGCAAAACGTGGCATAAAATTGGTAAATCCCTGAAAAATAATATGAGATGTGAATGTTTTCAGATTCTATTCGAACAGCAAACGGATACAAATCATGTATGTGGATTGGCAAGTAAAATATATTACATGTGTTTCTTGCGAGTTTTTCCCCTTCTTAATATCGCCTGGGTCCAAATATTCAGGAAATTTCAAAATGATGGACAATAAGCAAGAAATTAGTTGATGTCATCGTCAGAATGATGATATAATAACATGAACTTGAGCTAATGTTGAATAGATGAGAAGAAATAAAAACAAACCGCGATATAGCAATAGTCATGACGATAGACAAATGATGTTTGACACTTCTGACCTGAAATAAATAATCCAGATAGAAAACGATTCGATAATAACATATTTTCCAGGACTAAATACCATGATTCTAGTAATCACAAACGAAAAACATCTCTCTGACTAACAAAAGGGATCCAACTTTTAATAACATTGTATTAAAAATTGGATTATTGCAGAAAAACATTTTGAAGAATTACAAAATATCTGTAAAGCAAAAATACAACAACCAACGAGACAAGAACTTCTCGGATATTACCTTAATCTAATTGACTTATAAAATTTAATTAATTTTAGGACCACGCAAATTATACTTATCTAACTTAAGCCATAATTACATTTCAATCGTAATTGCACTTCAAACAAAAAATTTTTCAACTAAAAGTGTTCAGTGAATCCCTTATATCACTTATATTAAATATAATCAAATATTTTATTTAATAGTCAAAGTAATAACCGCTATATGCAGTAGCATTGTTCGGAACAGATGATCGAAGCACTTGTTCTAAAAAAAAGGAGTTAAGAAAAAATAATGAAATGAGAGAACAGGAAATTAGGAGACAATCATCAGCATTGTCCTGTTATTCGATACAACACATCTCCCACTACACATTCAGTGTAGCATGTTTTTTCATACATGAAGGATATGACTCATCCAGGGAATGATTTTCAGTGATTTATACTTCTTATCTTTCCTTTAATGTTTTTCAACTTGTTTAAAAATCCTAGCATTAATCTAATCACATTTCAACCGTTACCACTCCACCATGACAAAAATATTTAAACTAAACATTTTGTAGGGAAGAGTAATTTTCAATGATTATTAACATTATTACGGTCTTTTATTTTAGTTCACGGGAAAATACTTACTTTTGCAAAAAAAACGTGACTTCTCCATTCTTTCGCTAATATTTTTCCAATTCACAAATGTTTTTTCTACTCCATCACTTTCTTCTTTAACCCAACCAGCGCGTAGAGCCAAATCTAAAAATCAATACCGAAGATGGCTGCATGCGATGAGACGAAATTTAATAAAAGGTGTTTCCTATAATTATAAATTTTTAACAGCTTGCACGGAACACATTGAATTCGTTCAAATAAAAACTCAAGAATTCGCTTGAAAAAAATTTTGAAAAAATGCTGTTCACTTTTCAGTCTCTTGATCAAACAGTTTTTTTTTCCTGATCAAGAATAACTTGTCCAAAAAGAAAAAAAAAGCATAAGAGATCTTCTGTCCCTTCCTTCACTTCAGTAAACTATTAAAGATGTAATTCTTACATGAAAGCAGAGCGTTTTCAGGAGAAAGCTTAGTCTCAGTTCCCCTGTCTGGTGGATAAACTAATTCTGCCTTTAATTTTTTGCATTCCAATATCGCGTTGTCATACGTCTTTTCTGTTGTTGACTTAAATAGAAATGCCTCATTATTGAGATGATATTTGACATGTTGCAATTACCGAGCAGTCAATCCGGAACTACATGTCGTAAATGATTCATTTCATGATAAAGAATTAAATAAATATTCGAGATAAAAAAACACATTTTTCCCAAACATTTCATTATAAATGAACTGGGCTAACGAGGGTTTATAAGCTTGGTTCTGTTAATGTTTTCTTTGTTAGTGATACACAAGAGAATAAATTAAATGACCAAACAGTCCCGGTAATTTCCAACAGATTGCGTATTTGGGTAAAATTTCGATTTATTTCTTCACTCTAGTCCATTGAATTTCACTTAAACAATAACAGAGTTATTAGTGATATAATATAGTCCAAACCCAATAGAAAAGTTCCATTAAGAAAATTCATTAGATAGAGAAATACAAAGTTTCCATAATGATAAATATCGCTACTTATTACAATGTCATTGCAAATATAGTAATAAGATTTCATATTGGTCTTCTGTTGTAATTCTTCTATCTCAATCCAAATATGAAAGTCAAATAGTATATCAAAACAGTTATTTCTTGCACTGTCACTTCAAAAGAAAATAGACATACCGAGCAGTAGAATGCGCTATACCAATAAAACCAATTATCACCATCGCAATTGAATTCTAAAAACTCCGTTTTAATTGAGGCAGAAAAGACATAAAATATCCATTTAGATGCTCAAACCTTTGTCATATGTTGAGAAAGATATCATCATAATGACCTAAGCTATGACCTAAGCTCCTGTATTACTTGCTGCATTTTATTTTGCAAAGAACTATCCAATTAGTTTCTTCCAGTAATTGATTATATCAAGAAGTACGATTTAATAAACTCATAAAACTAAAGCAGTAGCGAAAAACTGATGAATCAACTGGGTAAAAACCTTGAGATGGAAGTAATTCCCAGACAGTTAAATTATAACACTAAATTCCCCTTGTTTTTCTGAGATACATTTCGTTTTTTCGAGCAGCATATAAAATTCTTTGCGATCTATCAAGTAATAACTTTCAACCATTTTACCCTGATGTTAATTTTCCATCGAATAACCTAAAGCTAACCGTTAAAACGCTGAACTTTTAGACAATTTTCATACAAATCACAGAATTCATCAAACCGACAAGCGTCACATTCTGAAAAACAATTCATGGTATAAAAAGTTATTTTTCTCAATTTTATTTTCTTTTACTTTTTAAAAACAGGGATTAATATATAATGCAGCTCATCCATCATGCTCATAGCATGATTATACCAGGAAGAAAATTGTATTAATGATAAAATCATATGAAGCATTGAAAACAGATTTGCGTTCATTTTGAGCAGCACAGATGTGAAATACAGGATGATTTTGTGCTGGATAGTTATACAAATTTAGAAAGCTGAAGTACCATCAATTGAGAATAAGTAGTAAACAAGAAGCTCCATACAAGCGTGAAATATGACAAAAATATAATCTAGATTAACAAACTTAGCATAATACTGGATGGCTACATAAATTTAGAACATTTTGGAATTTGAAGAAAATCCATCTCTCATAACGTAGTCTATTGAGATATGTCAACTAAATACTGTCGATGATAAGAGTAATCAATTTAACTCACCATACGGTACACTCCGTCGATACGTACATTCAAATCTACGACATACAAATTTCCTCGTTGGACT